TTCCATCGCGTCCTTGTGGTGGAGTTCGACCACACCTGCAAAATGTACATAAAAACACATTTTTACTTCTTTTTTCAGCATTTCTGTCTTCTGAAAATCAATACTTATCTGCAACTGTCAAGATATGCACAGAAAGTTGTTAAGGGGCCTTTGTTTTTGTCCCATCCGAAGGACTAGTAAAATCACTTTGGTTGCATCCCGTCCCTAAACATTGACTATATGTGATAGGGGGAATCTGACAAAAGAAATCTAAGAGGTCCAGGAATTGACTGAAATTTTTGATTCCATGAAATCGGGATCTAAGCTCTTCAGCTTTTTATCAGGCGTTTCCTTTATTTTCCGTACGTTTTCTTTGGCTGAGATTTTGAATGCAGTAATTCATACATTCTCCGATTCCCTGTACTCTGTACCCAGAATGGAATCCCTTCAGCTTTTTAAAAGAAATTTCCTTCTTGGGAAATCAAGAGTGTTTTTGCTTATCTCTAGAAACATAGCAAGGATCTAGCTCTTCCATTTCCACATCACGCGTCCCCTGGGGTGTAGGCGGTAATAAGAACATACCGGTACCCCAAGCGTCTCATAATAAAGCTCTCCTCTGTACCCAGTTAGTAGTACCACTACGATTTTTGTTTCTTTTTTTTAGCATTTTTGTTTTCTAAAAAAAATCAATACTTATCTGCAACTGTCAAGATATGCACACACAGGTGTTAATGGGCCTGTGTTTTTGTCCCACCCGAAAGACTAGTAAAATCACTTTGGTTGCATCCCGTCTCTAAATATATTGACTTTATGTGATAGGGGGAATCTGACAAAAGAAATCTAAGAGGTCCACAAATTGACTGATTTTTTTTTATTCCATGTACTAGGGATCTAAGCTCTTCATCTTTTTATCAGAAGTTTCCTTCATTTTCCGTACGTTTTCTTTGGCCGAGATTTTGAATGCAGTAATTCATACATTCTCCGATTCCCTGTACTCAGAATGGAATCTCTTCAGCTTTTTAACATAAATTTCCTTCTTGGGAAATCATGAGTGTTTTTGCTTATCTCTAGAACCATAGCAAGGATCTAGCTCTTACATTTCCACATCACGCTTCCCCTTTGGTGTAGGCGGTAATAAGAACATACCGGTACTCCAAGCGTCTCATAATAAAGCTTTCCTCTGTGCCCAGTTAGTAGTACCACTACGATTTTTGTACCATTTGTTCAATGACAAAAGTTAATATTGCCATAGTTAATGTTCATAAGGCGCTCAAACATCTTTGACCTTGCGCCGGGTATATTTTTAACATTAGTTGCATGCAATACATTCCATGGAAGGAAAATCATGTTATTTTACTGGTAAAAAGATTCAAAACACTGTGATATGCTTCTATATTAGATGTTTAATAGGTGGGAGAAAGTCTCTTTACTTGATTGGTGTCGTTACATTCCATGAAAGGAAGAAATACATTCCATGGAAGGAAAATCATGTTATTTTACCGGTAAAAGGATTCAAAACACTGTGATATGCTTCTATATTAGATGTTTAATAGGTGGGAGAAAGTCTCTTTACATCTCTTTACTTGATTGGTGTCGTTAAATATAATTACTTCCACTTTGAGATACGGCCCGTGATACTAGGGTGACACTATCGTCTAGGACTTGATTGGTTGTTAGTATATCAATTAACTTCTAACACGCTTTATACCTGTAATTACATTATTCTTGTAACAAAGATGGAGTTCGAACCATGAGTAATATACTATTCAAAAAAAGTAGGGGATATTTGATTTTTAAGTGTTATTAAAGTCACCTAATGAAACTGACGAAGAAACAAATGACAAAATGAAATGAAGTTCACATTCATCGATTTATTCCAAATGATCGTTAGACTAAGTAAGGCACAGACTGACCATTATAAGGGTAAAATGATACCCGGGGTCAAACAGCAAAGTTACCACAGCATCACAACCAAGTCAGTAACGGGTAAATCCTCCTCTGTTTGCCAAACAAGCATTGATCCGACGTGGCATACTCCTAATGAGACGTCTAAGGTCATTTTGGTCCAGATTGTCCCATTCCTGTTGCAACGCAGCAGCAAGTTCTTGGACGTTGTTGACGTTGACGTAACCTCTGTCCAAGCATGTCCCAGACATGCTCGATGGGGGAGAGGTCGGGACTCAGTGCTGGCCAAGGTGATGTTCTGTTGTTGGAGGTAACCTGTAACGATCCTGGCCCTGTGACATCTTGCGTTGTCTTCCAGGTCGTGCGAACGGCACAACATGGACTGCCAAAATGTTGTCCCGGAACACGCCCTGCAACAACATGTAAAGCCGTTCTTCCAGCAACAGTGATGCCTCCCCACACCATAACAGAACCACCCCCAAATCGATCATGTCTGATGACGTTAACGTCTTGGAAGCGCTCGTTTCGACGACGCCACACCCTCCTACGTCTGTCCAAAAAATCAACAGTGAACCTTGACTCATCTGAAAACATCACATTGCTCCAGCGTCGATTATCCCAGTGTTGACGATCCCTACACCAACGACGTCTTGCCTGAATGTGATCACGCGAGGACGTCGGGCGCGAAGGTGACCCCTATGCAGTCGATTCCGAATCGTCTGGCCACTCACTCTCACACCAGTGTCTGTTTGAAGACGAGCGCTGATCTGATTTGCTGTGATGACACGATTTCTCAAGGCCAAGGTACGGATAAATCGATCCTGGGCTTGAGGTGTCGACCTGAGCGTGGTCTGTCCTGTACAGATTGTGTATCACGGTATCTGGACCATAGCCTGCTTATGACAGACTGTGTTGTGCCGATCTGTAGCATGCCAAGGGCACGTAACCTTTCATTTTGGGTAAGCCGACGCATATCAAAATTTGTTTTCTGGTCACTAAAACAATTAAACTGATGTTTCCACCCTGGAATTCAATGCCACAATGACTGTAACATTCAAAGTCAGAGTCGTGCAAATCTTGGGTTGGACCCCCATGATGATCCCAAGCATCGCCTGCATTCCATGCGGTAGCTATTGGTGCGTTTGGGCGTCACATGTAACTGGAAATAACGATCAGGGGTGGACATGTAATATTTAGAAAACAAGCCTTATGCCCTGTCTATATTTTGAATATGGTTACATACTGACTCACACTTTGCCCACATAATATTCCCATCTCGAATCTTCAGTGGAGTCTGCAAATCAGTGGAAGTGGTTTATCCACGAACGTACATCTTCACACTTTTTTCTATTGATAATGTTACCATTCTGGCAGGCTACCAGTTAAAATCAAAGTACGTCGGCACACACATGATGTCCCCTCCCCTTCCTTAATCCGCGCCTGAAACCACCCGATAAGTTTTAGGAACATCCTCATTATATTCCACACTACTAGTTGGAAGATCATGAAAGTCAACACTATGGGTTTGAGGAACAGCATCATTATTTAACACAGCATTCTCCATTTGAAAACTTAAAGCAAGCAATTGTTTCCTTACAGCTCATCTGTTAAATTAAAAATGATAAATTATGAACTATATGTATATTAGACTGGGAGGGGAAAACGCGGATTCAAACATTATGCACGAAAAATTGCTTGTCGGAAGCCCATACGATTTTTTTCATAAAAAAATCTGATATTGTCTTTAAGCATGGAAATCAATGACAGGTCATTAACAAGAGCACCTTTCTATCCAACTTATCATTTATTTTTAAAGATTTGGTTGTGAACATTTCTGTGTCATTTAAACAAACAAATGTTTCGTTATTAATAACCGATATCTCCTCTGTATAATCATAAAAAAATAAACATTATCAATGTTTCGTTATTAATAACGTTGTAGTCCTCTGTATTTCTTCATGGTCTCAATATTGAACTTACAGACCGTGTTCTTCTCCAAATACACAGGGCAAAATAATAAAAATATCCAGGCTTTCCATTCTGTATTTGGGAATATTTCCAACGCTGCTCGCTAATTCAAAACCCATCTGAAATATAATACGGTAATACAATAATCAAATTACAAAAAACTAAGACAGTGACAGAAAATTCATCACATTATATGAAAGAATAATTACCCGAAGCAGTCTAGGTGGCACTATAAAACCATTGGTGGTAGCAGAATTACATAAAAGGCTGAACATTTTTTGTAAGTGACTTGGCGTTTATCTTGCAGGAAGAAAAATGCCAGGGAAAAAGTTGACCATTAATGTTGCCATGGATTGTAAATGAAATGGGGTTTAGCGTTCTACCCCGACTGGGCCTATGAAGACGGGCAGCTGGTAAATATCTTGGGAGTTACGAAGACGGCACCGTCTCCAAAAATGTTATCTGACAAATTTACCTCAAATTGTTGCGAGTAACAAAATCAAGAATCCTATCTTCGGCACCATCATCGATTGGATAAAATGGCTCACCACCAATGGTCTGTCTTAAATTATCTAGTATTTCCAGTTATCGTTTTGTTTTTGGTAATTCTTGATCGCCCGACACGATAGTGGCTATTTTTCTTAGGAGGTTGAAAAGTACCCTTTGAGGGGCATGTCCATTCACCGCCACGAAGCTTACGGAGATCATCGCAATTTTAAATTGAATATAAAAGAATAAAATTATATACACGATAAACAATAAAATAGATATTTAAATTTATCTGAAAAATACAATTTGTTCCTATATAACGGCAGAGAAAGAAACTGGGGAATTTATGACTTATTTTTATATCGTGCGTAAATGTTTTATGATTGTGGTTATTTTCATAAAAGAAATTAACTGATATTTACTAAATCTATTACATAAACCAAGGTGGGTTAATTGAAAACGTAATTCACAAAATACAACATTCGGCGTATTTAGTAAATTATTCATGTATCAACTGTGTGGTCTTGGAATTCTTTTTAACGTTGCGTACTGTAACAGCCAGATGACTGTGTACAAGGGTTTGAGTCTAAATGCAAACACCCACGAAAAACAACTTGACTTGTTATTGAGAATTGTCACAAATAAATACACTACACGTCTTGACCATTAATTACCGTACTAAAAGCACATTTATTAGTTCTTGGACATAAATATCACTGTGGCCTACGTATTTGATGAGAATAACAACAATAACATTAATAATTCTTGAGCTGTTTGATTTCTGAAAAATATAAATAAACCTAATGTTTACCACTTATAATAATATAAGAATGATCATGACAAACATGACATGCAGAATGTAATACACCATGCGGTCTTGATTCGAGATATCCTTAAATAATTACTTCTACATGTATTATATTCAGCTTTAGAAAAAATAGATCTTGGTACATACAGTTTACATGAAAGAAGACAAAAGGACAAAAATATATGCTTACAGATACGTTTGGCCCTTATATAACACAAACTTCTTTAATATCTATCAGCCATTGTACCCTTTTTCTAGACTTAAGAAAGATAACTCTAAATGCTGTACATATATTATAAATGTTGCATGCCAGGAAAATTAAACCAAATAAAAAAGGGACATAACTCTTCTATGCCTACTGTATAATTATATATTACTAAATTTATGACATTTAGAATCAACATACCGGCCCCGTTAAACGTGGAACTTAACTAGTGAAACGTTTAATAAAAGTAACATTAATGATTCTAAATAACACTATCCTAACCATAAAAAGTACACAATAAAAGTAACATTACTGATTCTTAATAATACTGTCTTAACCATAGCAAATAATTACATATCATATACCACGAAGCACAATATTCTAATCAGATGCAATTTCTAGCAATACACACTTATCTACAGGTCTACATAAAGATTTACAATCCTTAGTCAGTAATTTTACAACACGCACTGTTCCCTGGTCATCCGGATAAACTTCAACCACACGTCCCAAAGGCCACGATCCTCTCGGTTGATCCTTATCAGCAAGTAAAATGACATCACCAATGACTAAGTTCCTTTGTTTCTCATTCCACTTCTGTCGCACCTGTAGGAGCGGAAGATATTCACGTGTCCATCGACGCCAAAAAACGTTAGCAAGGTACTGGACTTGCCTCCATCGGTTCCTGACGTACAGGTCCCTTTCTACGAATAAACCAGGTGGATAACTACCTGCGGCACGGAGCAACATCAAATGATTTGGGGTTAAAGCTTCTTGATCATTGGGATCATCAGATACCTTGGTTAACGGACGTCCATTAATAATCATTTCCACTTCACAAAACAAAGTGTTCAGGCTTTCGTCGCACAATACTTGTTCATTCAGCAGTGAATCTAAAATTTTACGAACTGAGCGGATACACCTTTCCCAGATGCCACCAAAATGTGACCCCGCTGGTGGATTAAAACACCATTCTATTTCCCTCTGTAGCATGAAATCATCAACCTGCTTCCGATTCCATTCTTCTATTGACCCTTTAATCTCTTTACTACCAGCAACAAAATTACCACCATTGTCACTTCTAATCTTCAGTGGTGATCCTCGCCTACATATGAACCGACGAAAGGCGTTTAGAAAAGAATCTGTGTCCATTGAATGCAGAACCTCGAGATGAACCGCACGACAGGACAGACAGGTAAAAATGCACCCATATCGTTTGAGCTGACTTCTTCCTCTCTTCACAAAGAACGGTCCGAAACAGTCTATTCCTATGTAGGAAAATGGTGGAAGATCTGGAGTGACTCGTTCCTTTGGTAGATCAGCCATTCGTTGATTACAAACTGGTGCATTCCTTCTGCGACAATTATAACAATCACTTAAAACTCGACGTACCGCAGAGTTACCATTTATAGGCCAAAATCTCCTTCTAATACTAGATAAACAATATTCTCTACCAGAATGAGCTAACATCTCATGATAATGGCGAATAACTAATTCAGTCACAGGATTCCGCTTGGGTAAAATGATCTGATGCTTTGTGTCGAATAGTCCATTGTGTCTTCTCAGGCGACCACCTACTCTAATTAGACCTCCGATCAGTACTGGATCCAACTTAAATATAGGACTCTTTCTGCTGACACGACCATTTTCATCTTTCTTTGACAAAACAGCATACTCTTCCGGAAAACTAGTTTTATGCACGAGCTTCAAAATTTCTGTCTCTGCAGCCGTTAACTCTACAACTGTTAGTCTAGAGGGTTCCTGTAATTTCTTAACATCTCGACCAGCCTGGTTTCCTTGACATCTAGCTTTAAGAATTTCCCGGTACCTTAAGATCCATGCCACACACCTTTTTAACTTGTACCACGACGAAAATCTTTTGACGAGCTGATCGAGAAGGGAGTTATCTCCCTTTATAACAAACCGTGAATGTTTTTCAATTCTAACCTCGGGATCTGTGTCTTGAATTACATATTCATGGGGCTGACTGGGCCATTCTAACTCATCCTTCCAAAGAAAATCCGGCCCCGATATCCACTTGGAACCTCCCAAAATAGTCTTGGCGGCAACGCCCCTTGAAGCTTCATCAGCGGGATTTCTTGCCGATTCCACGTACTTCCACTGCGAAGGCTGAGATCCATCTAAAATAGTCGAAATTCGATTGCCTACAAAAGTATGAAACCGCTTATCTTGATTGTTGACATACTTTAGTACCGAAGTACTATCTGTCCAATAAAAACTCTTGTCTATCTTCATCTGTAGTTCTCTTGTAATGATTTTGTTTAATCTAACCGAGACTACTGCTGCTGATAATTCTAGTCTGGGAATGCTTATGCTCTTTAATGGTGAAACTCGAGATTTACCAGTCGCAAACGAACAGCATACATTTCCAGCATCATCAATAAAACGTAAGTAACTGACAGCACCATAACCTTGTTGTGAGGCATCCGAAAAACAATGTAACTGTACCGACACAACTCTAGCACACGATGGTGGTGGTTTAAGACACCTACTGACTTGTAAATTAGATAGCAGAGGAAGATCTTCCATCCAGGAAAGCCACAATTTCTCATACTCATCTGGTATCTTATTGTCCCATCCAAGTTTTAAGCGACAAAGTTCTTGAAGTATCAACTTAGCATTCAAAACGAAAGGAGCTACGAATCCTAAAGGATCATACACCGATGACAGGATCGACAATATGCCACGTCTACTTATTGGTTTTTCTTTCAACACTACATTAAAGGTGAAGCAATCCGATTCTGTATCCCACAAAACACCTAGAGCACGTTCGATTGGTAATCCGTCGAAGTCCAGGTTCTTCACAGTTTTAGCTCTCTCGGTCTCCGATATAGATTTAATAATGTTTCTTGAGTTTGAAACCCATTTCGTTAAATTAAATCCTCCTTTCAGTAATAGTTTCCTCAGGTTGTCTACAAGACTTATGGCTTCATTTTCATCGTCCAAAGACTTCAAACAGTCATCAACATAGAAGTTTTTCTGTACTGTTTCAACAACTTCGCTGTCAAAAGCTTCGCAGTTGTCTTCTGCGGTTCTACGTAGGGTAAAGTTACAAACGCTGGGCGATGAAGTTGCCCCAAACAAATGGACGCGCATACGTAGCTCAATGAGTTCACCATTAACATCATTTGACTGCCACCATAGGAAACGAAACACGTCTCTTTCATCTTGAGGCACATTCACTTGATGAAACATAGATTCTACGTCGCCCATTAATGCATAGTATCCTTGGCGAAACCTCAGTAATACTCCAACAAGGGAACTGGTCAAATCTGGGCCCTTAAGAAGTACGTCGTTCAAAGCTACTCCCTTAAACTTTGCTGCGCAGTCAAAAACGACCCTAAGTTTTCCTGGCTTCTTTGTGTTTACCACCGGGTGGTGTGGCAGATACCATACTCTATCGTTAGCCCTATCTATATGGCCAGGAGGGACTACCTCTGCGTATTTCTTGGAGAGAAGTTCGTTAATTATCTCTGAATACTTTTCAAATAAAACAGCATCTTTCAGGAATCTTCGTTTCAATAACATTAACCTGTGTTCTGCCATTATTCTTGGATTTGGTAGCTGTAGTTGATCATGTTTCCAAGGCAGCGATACTTCATAGTGACCATCAACCAGATTTATAGACTGTTCAAATACAGATAATGCTTTACTATCTTCGCGAGACATGGTGACTAGGGTATCGTCAATGGAATCATTAAATTCATAGTTACAAAACTGCTCAAACTGCTGGTTAAGTTCAACATCTTTCCTCATAAAATTACATGTTCTCTGCTGTGAAGCATTCTTCCCAAAAGGTCCATTAATTAACCAACCAAATTTTGTTCTGACAGCAAAGGGGCCGTTATTCTGACTGTGCCTGATTTCTAACGGTTCGAAAATAACACTATTGTCATTGCCGATCAATAAATCAACTTCTTGTCCTGGTACTAACTTGGGTACAGTAATACCCTTTAAATGCGGCCAAGAGTCAATATCTTCTTGTGTTGGGATATCTGCAGTCGATATAGGCAAGGACGGGAGAGAATATACCGAATTCAATACAGTAAGGTGTTCTTCATCCTGACTGAGGAATTCCACGTCTGTGACCAAACTGTTTACGGAATCGTTTTCCTTACAAAGTGTAGTTAATCCTAGCTCTGTCGATTTGCCGGTTATACCAACTTTACTTAAAGCTGTACTCGTAACAAATGTGCCGTTTGAACCACTGTCATATAACCCGATCGCTGGTAACAGTTTTCCGCCATTTCTAATTTTACCAAAAATAAAGGGTTGGCCTATCTTTGACGATTTCAATTTACCTTCATTTGTGAAACAACTTGTAGCTTGAGGAATTGGATTCTGCTGATGAAGTATGGTAGCGTGATGTCCCTTACATATATCACAATTTATGCGTTTTCTACAAAACCCAGCACGATGTCCATAAGTTAAACAATTAAAACAGAGTCTACTTTCCTGAACAAAACGTCGTTTATCGTCAATATTCATTTTCTTAAATTTATCGCATTCGACTAACGTATGATCGCCTTTACAAGAGGGACACTTTGGGAATGATCTCGAAGGCGTATCTTGTTCTGTCTTATTCGCTCTCTCTTCTTCCAGTTTAGCCAAAAAATTAGTTCTTGAGAAGTTACCTCCCCTGAATCGTGTTTTATGCTTATCTGAATCGGGTGGGGTAACAGTATTTTGCACGTTTCCGAAAACTGGATGTGTAACTATTCTAGCCTCTCTTGACACAAACTCTGTAACATCTATGATAGTGATTTCCCTGTCTTGAAATTCAGTTATGTAGTCGGCTTTATTTCTCCACTTTTTTCTTATGTCGTAAGGCAACTTGGAAATTATTCTTTTCAAACAGTCAGTGTTATCTAGTTTACTTATGTAGCCTATTTCATTTAAAGTGTTAGTGCAACTAGTAAGGAGATCTGCAAAACGCTGTAGATTTATGCCGTCTTCTGTTTTTATTGTTGGCCAGCTTGTCACTTTATCAACGTAGGCTGTGGCGATTTTGTAGTTTTGACCGAATCGTTTTTTCAACAACAGAATGGCTTCTGCATATCCATCATTCGGGTGTTTAGAAAGACAACTTTTCATTAGGTCTTGGACTTCACCTCTGGTATACTGTATAAGAAAATATAACTTGGTACTACAGTTGTCGGTTTTATCTGCTATTAAATTCTCGAAGGCTTTCATGAAGGCGTGAAATTCAACTGGATTACCGCTAAATACAGGCATTTCGGGCTTCGGAAGTGTTAACAGCAAAGTACTCTGCATTTGTCCTTCCATCATTTTCTCCATACACTTCATTTGACTTGACAGTATATCTTGGAGTGTATTACTTGGCGGCGGTACGGCAGCCGGATTATGTTCACATTTACCTATGTTAACGTCGCCATTTAGTGGAGGGTCTGGCTGAATACATGTATTTACCGTTTCTCTACGTGAAGACTTTCTCTCTTTAGCCTTTCTTTGTTTATTTTCTAAAATCTTTATTTTATTTTCAACTTCTTCCTTTAAGGCTCTAGCTTTTTCTAACCTTTCATTTGTAAGAGTTGTAGAAAGTTCTGAATTATCACCATCCGAGCAACTCGCCTTTGATCTGGTTTGTAGGCCTGATACACTATCTTGACATGAATTCTCTGACGATACTTCAAATTCAGTGTACTGTGTCTTGAGACGTATATCTTCCTTCATCCACTGAGCTAATCGTTTTCTTAAATTGGTGGTTAGCTGTTTCTGTTCATCATATCTAACATATTCTTCTTCAATTTCAACGTCATCTCGTACGTTTCTGAGAACTTGGGTGTGGATGAACTGATACCTGTCCCACGATTCTTCCATTTTACACATCATTGTATTTATTTCTACTTTAAAATTGTTATCAATACTACTAATTTCACTTGAAATCAATCTTCTCAAATCATTTCTCCTTCTTGTTAAATCCTTTACCGCTATCTCTATACGGGCGTTATCTTCATCCATAATAACAGTTTCTTGAATGATTAAATTTCCGTCAAAATTTATAGCAGTAGTTCTTATTAAAGTTCGTTTCTTTCTTGACCGTATCTAAATTATTGTAACAGCCAGATGACTGTGTACAAGGGTTTGAGTCTAAATGCAAACACCCACGAAAAACAACTTGACTTGTTATTGAGAATTGTCACAAATAAATACACTACACGTCTTGACCATTAATTACCGTACTAAAAGCACATTTATTAGTTCTTGGACATAAATATCACTGTGGCCTACGTATTTGATGAGAATAACAACAATAACATTAATAATTCTTGAGCTGTTTGATTTCTGAAAAATATAAATAAACCTAATGTTTACCACTTATAATAATATAAGAATGATCATGACAAACATGACATGCAGAATGTAATACACCATGCGGTCTTGATTCGAGATATCCTTAAATAATTACTTCTACATGTATTATATTCAGCTTTAGAAAAAATAGATCTTGGTACATACAGTTTACATGAAAGAAGACAAAAGGACAAAATTATATGCTTACAGATACGTTTGGCCCTTATATAACACAAACTTCTTTAATATCTATCAGCCATTGTACCCTTTTTCTAGACTTAAGAAAGATAACTCTAAATGCTGTACATATATTATAAATGTTGCATGCCAGGAAAATTAAACCAAATAAAAAAGGGACATAACTCTTCTATGCCTACTGTATAATTATATATTACTAAATTTATGACATTTAGAATCAACACGTACAATTCCAACCTCATTATCATACCATTACCCTGGACAGAAACTTCTAACCCAGTGGTTTCTAGGTACAGTTGAGCTGGAGATACGTTTACACTATTTGCGTACAATCCTTGGCCATTTCGTTCCGATTATCAAAAAATTCGAACTCAACCACCATCATGGTGAAACGGTGATATTCTATAGAGTTTGTATAGAGAGAAATGGGGTTTAACGTCCACTCGACACAAACTAGGTCATTTCGGGACTAACATATGGTTTAATTTTATTTACATAATTCGCTTGCGCGTAGGGGTCTTTAACAGTGGGAGGAAACCCACGAGGAGAATTTGTATAATCATTATTCTGGAGATAATGCAGCTGCGAGCTTAATACCGATGTATTAGCCCAGTGTTGCTAGCATGTCTGTTATATTCAAAATGTCAAAGAAAGTATTGGGTTACTGAAGTAGTACATATACAGGATTCACAAAATACATATTATGTTCATTCTTCCACGTAATGGCGAAAAGATATAGAACAACCCCATCAATATCCTCAGATGTAACAACACTAACATGTCCCACTATCAACGCTTTTCGAATATTCAACGGAGGGCCTGACAAGGACAGCTGCCTAGTCGTTCGGATGGGACGAAAAACCGAGGTCCCGTGTACACATTGGCGTGCACGTAAAAGATCCCTTGTCAGTTGGAATTCGATATAAGAGTAGGCCGTAGCGCCGCTGCCCGGGCAAAATTTCCCTCATAGCACACTGTATGGCGTATGCCTGTCTTCAATTAGCCCAGGTTAGGTGCAGAAGAGTAGGACGTTAAACCCCATTTCATTTCATTTTCGAATATTCAATAAGCCAATGAATTTGTGCCATTTCCGTTTCACCTCTCCGTTGCTTTATGTTTTTGAGTCTTTGTACAGTAACCAAGCCATTCGCACAAGAAAACTCTTATTTCATTGGGGTAGTGTAAGATTTACAATCTGGCATAATATCCACAGTAACATTTTTCTGCAGATTCAGGTCGGCGATGTGGGCCGCAAGATATTTACTGATCAACTTTCTACCGTGCATGCAACTGATGATCTGTCAATATTTGTAAGGATTTCTTCTGCTGTTTTTAAATGATTGATTTGGTATTTCTTTCTTGAATCTCGTTGCGGCCTTGAAATCATCTGTGGTGAAATTATACGTTGCTTCACATACTGCTTTCTCTTGACATCTGGCAAATCAAAGTATTTTTAGGAAAACGGTTTTCTCGATGAACTTGGATGTATTGATATCCAGTTCAGGACCTGTTCGTAGAAATGTGTGCTACTCTGCTTCAAAATTTGTCTACTGTTCAGGTGGCAAGGTTTCCACAAATTTGACAAAGAGTTGTATGTAAAGCAAATGACAATCGTTTTATATATCTATCTACTAGCCTTTTCTATAATACTCAGCTAATAGGAGTTTCTGCCAATCTTGATATTCCATATCTCGCAAGAAATTTAGGCCTCTTTCTCTAGCTAGTTCAAGGAGTGTATTTACATACAACACTTTTTTTTATCAAACGTGTTGAATAAACTGCCGATAATAAAAAAACCAACCTAAATCAACGATACCAAGCGCTGTAAAAATAAACCTCAATAATGTGATGTCGCGTTGAACTTGCGGAATGAGAATAAAATACACTATGTATATATTCTAAGAAGGGTAAATCTAAGACTCAATAACATCGTAGGAGTGGTACAGACTTTTTGACATACCCGTCTTCATTAGCCCAGTAGGCCGTTAAACCCCATTTCATTTCTGTTTGGCATACGAGAATTATGCAATGGAAACCTAAGATACCCGATGGACATATATTATAGAATATAATATTGGTTTATCCACACATTGTTTTGATCTCTTTTAAGAACTAGATAGTATTTCTTTAACTTTGGCATACTATTCGTTACAGTGTTGGTAGACTTCTGTAATATCTCTGACATGTAATAGAATGCATCTACCATTCTTGGATAACAATCCTCCATCACTTCTGCTGTGTGAATAAAAAAATAAAAAAAAGTATTCACGTGTTTTATTAGTATAAATGTATTGCCGCCAAATGTAACAAAGCATGATTTCTAACGCACTGTACATGCATACAATGAACAATTTTTTTAAACGTATCATTTCATCTTCGTCTATAACTTAGATGTAATCCATCAATTAAATCCAAACTTTAAATTATATACGATGAGCTTTTGCACATTACTCGCAGCTTCAGTTAATCTAAATCAACCATCGATACAGCACAGTGCCATGCATATACATCATAAATCAGAAACGCGCCAAAACATTGAGTTATTGGGTTCGACACCCCGTTATAATTAAGTACATTTTGAGTACACTTTCCGAATGATTCCATTCTTTTGTACGTCCAACTTCCCTACTGCATATACTTATACACTGTAGGCTTATACATGTTTAAAATCTAGATATCAGCAGCTCGAAATTAAGTTAAACAATGTATACACGTCATAATATTTTACTGTCCAAATTTAATAATCATACATCAGATTTACACTAACAGTGTATTCCCTTTTTTTTTATTGCAGTCAACAAAATTTTAACTACTTGTATTTACTGTCTTGGCACTTGGTGAACAAGGTATTCAAACCCATCACAAACACCCTTTTTTTAAAACAAAATAATTGTCATTTTCTTTCTTTTAGAAAACATTTTCTGTCTGTATTTTATTTGTCACAAATAACCACATAAATCATTTTCGTCTCAGAAATTCGTTGATCTCGACTACCACGCGCTCTTGCCAGGCATGCTTATCTTGAACCTTGGGATAGCAGTGTACAATTAACACACCTTACAGTTCCAACTTATTACATCTACCCCCACCGAAATACGAATATTTCCCCCGCAAGTTGTCCGGTCAGTTCAGTTCAGGGAAAAGTCGTAGCACTACTTTTGTCGTGGATTTAAGGTCGTCCGCAGAAATACGAAATTCCGGTTGAATATCACTGAAATGTGATTGGCAGTGTCAGTCGTTGACAGCATGAAGGTACATGACTTTAAAGTCCTCCGGTGGAATATCCGTGTGATGTTGCAGCGTCGGAGGGGCGGACTGGGTATCGGTATCTGTTGGCCTTGCCCATCACCATGAAGACTCTGTAATAGTAACAATACTGGATTTTTCACTTCTTGTAGCTCAGGTTGTTTCTTATTCATTGTCTGCATAAATCTCTCCACTGTGGATAACATTTTAACCCTTTGCCGCCTGAATTTTTTTAAGATAATTTTTCTAAATTCCAAAATTTGATGGAAATGCTTTCTAATGATCCATACAGTACTGTCCAATACTTCAAATCTTGTTGCCATGACAACTGGATCCATATTTGTACCGACAGTCAAATGACATGTCATGCCTGACGGTACAAATATGTATCATCTGAAAAATAAACTAACAAATGCTAAATTTATTAGAATGAAAATAGAATTTATTGTTGAAATATAAAAATGTAATACAAAATTCCACTAATATAAGCTAACTTATTCTAAATTGCAGTTTTTCATACAAACAAATATATAACAGGTTGAACATTTGATAAAGGGTTTGGACTGAACACTGTTCATAATACAACTCTCGCAGTACCCCTATGTTCATTAAAAACTGGCCAATGGGCCCTTGTATATTAGCTTAAAGTTACAATTTCATATTTTCTAAGAAAGTCAAAACATAATTATTTCTGTCTTTTGCTCAATAGGTTGACAACTCACTATTATACGATCATAGGTGCCATTCTCACACTTAAAACTCATTTACACCGGAAATAATAACACAATTACCTCCCTTGTTTTCTATTCTCCACCATGGAGTAGTTATCTTCAAACGTTGGAATTTGAAGATGAAAATGATATTTTTGCTAATTTCTCAACTGGCAATAGTGAATTATAGGATTATTCTTTAACACGGTAGAACTGTTTATAGATACCATCTATTTTAAGGCTTTATTTTAATAAATTTTAAAAAATATAACTTAAAAATATGAAATTGCAGCTTTAACGTCTATGATAGTCTAAGAAGCAATTCCTCTTCTGACTCAAAGATAGACATTACAGGCTGAACAAACACTTTTCATACTGCACAGTTCGCACCTCCCCCTATTTTCATCGAAAACTGGCCAATGGGCTCCAGTATTATGTAGCCTTATATCGGATGAAACAGAGAACCCTTGTTTTCTGCGTTTTGGCGGAGGGCTTGGTGTCTGTGGCTCCGTGAGTAGCCTTCCAGGCTGAGGTCGTAGGCCTCTAGCTCTGGTTATCAAACATTGTGTAACAGCACGTCTAAATGTCAGCTCAGACATTACACAATTTTGTAACTTACAAAATACTACCATGGCATTAACCAAAGTTCTGTCGAGGAGCTCAAATACTATCCCGTGCCACCACTTCTTAGATTTCCTATTCAATCCATGAATGGAGGAAAGCATATCAGCTTTGTCCACTCCGCCCATGTATTGATTATAATCTTTAATGCATTCGGGCATTAACATCAACTTTATTTCCATCTTTCTGTCTACGTTGGATAACTACTGTCTGTACCATGGAAATTTGACCCAACATGAACTAATCGATTGTCTTTCCATCGGAAAATGCTAATGGCTGGTCCCTTTCCTGCCACACGGTAATCTGATTGTCCTCTTTCTAAATCTTTTTCTTCAAGCATACCTAAAGGAAATGCTTTCCTCTGTGATCTTATTGTTCCACATGCGTAAACACCATATACAGATAAATAGTCTAGTAAACGCACAGAAGTGAAAAAATTATCAAAATAAACCTCATGATGTTTGTTATGCAAATCTGCTGTAAGTTCAATGACTACTTTCTCACCAAGCCCAAATTCAACATTGTCATCATCATCACGTACCTCATTATTTCCCCTGGTACACATCAAATTTTGTGGTGTACCCTTCTAAATCGGACCTCATCCATAGTTGTTTATAACCACGTTTTATAGGTTTCATTGGGTTATATTGCTTCAGAGTGTCTTCCTTTGTAACGAATCAGGCTCTCATCTATGCTTACATGTTTTGATACATTATACAGTTTGACATAATTGCTGTTCAGCTTTTTTATCAATGGCCTTACTTTGTACAATTATCAGTATTATCAGCCGGCATAGCATGGTTATCATTTAAATGCAAATTACTCAGAATCTGGCCAAATCTATCTCTAGGCATTACAGATGAGACAAATGGTACTGCTAAATCAAAATCAGTTTGTAAATATAATCACGCCAGCTTGGTAATGTATGGTACCCCATCAGAAAGTTTATCCCTACAAAACCGTACAACTCTGGTGAAACACGGCGATCTTGTTGCTGAATATATAGGTTTGTCTGGAAACATATGTTTTCCACTAATTCATCATCAAGGAATTCCATAAATACATCTCCTGGTGTTTGACATCCATCAAAGTGCTGAAGTCGAGGGCCTGGAAAAACCGAAACTTTGGGTAAATTGCTCTTCCATGTGGTAAACAAAGTCTGTTATTGACTGAGTAAACTTAATATTTCTGAATTGGTTAATAATAATAACTAGACCTGCAAGCAGCACTGAACCGACTTTCGGGAATCAGACAGGAAGTGTGTCACACATTAGCCCATTAATTGAGCTACCAAACGATACTTTAGTTGTTTTGATTCAGTGACACCCGGCTGAGAAATCGCGATTTTTGCAAGAGTACCAATTTTCTAGCACAGAAATGTACAAAGAACTCTTTTCTTTGATAGGACCTATAAAATTTGTTAACAATATTTATTTTTCAGTACCACAAGAGTATATAGAATAGGTATATAACCAAATCTTATCTATTAATATTATTAGAATATGAAAAGTAAATCTTTCATAGATTTGGGGGCCCTTAAAAGGGCCGGTTTTTTTTAAAGAGCGTCTACACCATGTATTCTATTGGCTTGCCATACTTCTTATCTGGGCTTTCATTTGGGCGTATTCAAAATTGACTTTACGAAGGCCTACCATTATTCTTATATCAATGGAATATCGAAGCGAGCGTTGATGGTTACGTCTGGCACGCTATTGTCGAACTCCATATTGCCTTATTTTTGTGTGTTCAGCAATATTTTTTTCAGTACCACAAGAGTATATAGAATAGGTATATAACCAAATCTTATCTATTATTAGAATATGAAAAGTAAATCTTTCATAGATTTGGGGGTCCTTAAAAGGGCTTGCCATACTTCTGATCTGGACTCTCAAATGTAAAACCAAATCGGCTTTCATTTGGGCATATTCAAAATAGACATTACGAAGGCCTACCATTATTCTCATTCTTATATCAATGGAATATCGAAGCGAGCGTTGATGGTTACGTCTGGCACGCTGTTGTCGAACTCCATATTGCCTTATTTTTGTGTTCAGCAAGATTACTTGTTCGCATGCTCTTCTGAAATGACGTTCTGCAGAAAATAGCATCTCCTGGACTCTAGACATCGAATCCATTGCTACTGTTTGCTGAATATCAGTGGAGTTGATTTATATACACTATTTGAAAGGTGTAGACACGTGATAATTAGTGACATCACATAAGGTTAGGGTTAAGGATTGGATATTCGCTAATTAAGCAAAAACCAAAGACATTTAAAATCCGAAGATACACACTTTCATCGAAATCTAAAAAAAAAAAAAATACATATATATATATATATATATATATAACACGTGATTGTGTGCGATATCACTTCGGTGGAAGCGGACGTAAAAGACAACGAACTCACACAAACACACAAATTTTATTACACTCAAAATCCTGACCCCCAGCTAATCAGCAATGGTATGTTTTGGCGATAATGAATGAATGAAATATGGTTTTATGGCATGTGAGCTCCAACCGGGCTATATTGCGCCAAGAATATGGTGAATCTACCGAGACAAATTAAATCGATATCACATAAATGAATTTATATATGTAAATAAAAACAAATATCACAGAAAATATATTAATTAAGAATGAATATAACAAATCTTTTACATATATAAATATTTAAAAAGATATACATGATTAAATATATACAATTAAAATTGAGAATAAAAGTTTGTCTCTTTTAAAAATGTTAGCACTTTGTCATATAGCTCCGGTTGAGCAAATAGCTGACGTACTGACTGGCAACGGTAGTATTTAGATCTAATGTACTTGAGATGTTTGCACTCAATCAAGATGTGTTTCACTGTCAAAGGAACATGACAGTGAACACATTCCGGTTGAGGCTCTCGCTTCAAAATGAAAATATGAAATGAAACTAGACCTGCATGCAGGAATGACGGGTTTCACTGGTGCCACGTTACCCTTTAACATGTCATTTCCGGTGCCACGTTACCCTTGAACATATGTCACTTCCGGTACCAATGAAACCATTAAACAGGTTTTTTTGGTTTTGACCCCTCAGACTTTGTACCGTTGATTACAGATTAAAAGTGTACAAATGTGTTGTTATTGATGTGTTCCCATTTGAATTTTGTTCACAATAAGAAGCAAAATAAATAAGATGTTTACAGGATCATTTTTTTATACGAAAAACTAAGTGATGCGTTTTCTATGACGCTCAGTTTATTTCGATCAATTGGGGCACAATTTTGATCCAAGCTGTTCCTACTCTATTTGCCAACAGTGACCCGACAAAAAGCTTGTCCCTTTTTGTTCCGGTTCTGAGTTCTCGATGGTACTAATAGTTGTAAATGATTTGAAAAGACCAACTCTTTATAAATGTTAAATTGATTTATTGAATTATAAGTGAAAAGTAGGATATGTACATAGTAATAACCATGATTTAGCAATTGTTTAATCATTATAACAGTACAAATGGAAATCCAATTATCCAAGTATAGTGAGAATAAGAACAGCATTAATAAATATTCAAAATGCGTATTTGCAAATTCGGCAAATATTTTACAATGAAAACAAAAATACAAAGAAATATGTAATGAACATATAAAGCAAAATTTAAATAACGAACAGAAAGGCATACATTTATATAAATTTTGAAATCTAATTTGCGTATAATGTAAATGAATTAAACTGCCAATAAATTAAACTGGAAAAATAATCGTAACAGTTAAAAACCCAACAGAGAAAGTTGTAATACTTTCTGCGGTAAATATGTATTTAGTACATAAATACAACAATATAGAGCTTTGAGATATAATTCATCTGACTTTACTTATATTACTTATAAATTATTTATTATTGTATATACTATTTCGAAATCTTGTTAGTATTAAATAATGTCTATCATTTCTATGTATGGAAAGGGCTTTTCTAAGTTTTTGAAACTTGTGCTCAATCCTTTTGATATTTGTCAATAAAATATGTTTAAACTAAACTAATGAATATTAAATGGAATATACATATATCCTACATATTTTGGTACATGGAAGAACAGTCAAATTACTGAGTGTGTTGCATTAAAGATTTGATCGTGACCTTCCATATTTCAGAGGTGCGCTTAAACATTCAGTGGTCCATTATGTCATTATGATGACTCAATGAATGTTTCAGCGACCCGGTCCGTTTGGGAAAATAAAGAATAAATATTCTTTAATTAATTGAACCGGTACCTAGCTACAATAAAATGGGTCCTATACGAAAATCGAAACAATAGGACATACACAAAGCAACAATATATAATGAAATGAAAATTTGACTAATATTACATATATACATTTAACAGCTCGATATCATCCTAGAGTTCTGAAAAGATAACAATTATAAACGTTTAAAATATATGCATTAGAAATCCCCGTCATAAATTGTTTTGTACTGTGTGATTCAACTTGAAATGAGCTCTGTACATATATTCTAAAAATAACAAAATGACAACCTGTGATTCAATTTGAATATATTCCAAACCGATTAAAACTCACCTGCCAATTTATTGCCGACCATTTTAAGCGTAATAACTGTTTCCTTTTGTATGATATCTTCCATCTTTGTCACAAGCTCTTCCTCCGATTCGTGCGTAATATAAGTTTTGAGAACTGGAACGGGACAGTTAACATCAATAAATTCGTCTGGTTGTTCTACCTTCGCTATTGTAATTGAATATTCCAAATCGTCCCTTCCATAGCCATGGATAATGAATTCTGCTGTGGCGGTCGGTGCTGTGGTTTCCTGAAATACATAAACAATTATAACCATCTTCACCCCCAAAGTATATTATGGTGCAGTTTAGTTCGCTACTAAACTATTTAGCGAACCTCGGTCGTGTTTTTGCATTAAATAGCCAAATTTCAATGTTTTCTTCCTTCAATTTTCAATATGAAATATTACTACAAGTCTCTTAGTTAAAGTTACATTATTAGGCTCTTGAATTTCGAAAGTAAAAACGCCGCTCTCTGCATTCCACAAAATGCCCAAAGTTTTTAGTGAAGGTAAACTGCTATCTTCAATCGAAAGATGCCCCACACGGTCTTGAATTGGTATTTCGTCTAACACCCTAGGGTCATTACATTACCATTTACGAATCTGGAACCCCGCACTTAGTTATACTGCAGATATTTCTCGGCGCAACTCTATGGATGTAGATACATCATCAACACTATCTAATAAATCATCGATGTACATTGAGTTAAGAACGGAGTTAGCACCAGCTGGATATTTATCAATGTTCAATGTTCTCTAACAACGGCTTGTGATATTTTTATAGGCGCATCTGGAACTTAGACCCTCCATAAAAATTTATCGAACTTCCGGTTTGATCTTAATTTGTAGGAACATTTCGGTTATACCCGCGGCTTTTGCAATAGGACTTTTGCGAAAGCGAAGCAAGACATCAAACAAGTCTCTTTGAAGTTTGGGCTTTGGGTATATACAATCATTCAAGGACTTTCCTTGACAGCGAGCGGCAGCGTCCATTACAACTCTGACTTTAGTTGTAGACGTATCCATACGAACAACCGCGAAGTGTGGTAAATACCACGATGGTGCCTGGGTATTAATGGGTGAAACTTCTTCGATGTAGTCTTTCTCCAAATGATCATTCACGATTCGTTGATATTCTTGAGCTACTAGTGGACGCCTAATTAATGATTTTTCCAAGTTGATGAGTCGCGATTTGGCGATAGCATAATTTTATTCGAGTTGAGGCTCGTTAGGTCTCCACGGAATACCTACGGTATATCGAGATGCCTTTGTATCGAAAGTTAAAGAATCCTTGGTTGAATCAATTGCTGCTTGTTCCGACTTGGAATGAGACTTAGCATTGGCCACGACCCCGGACGATTCTAATTCCCACATGCTTCGAAGTAATGTGTCTACATGTGGCTCTTGGTTATCACTTATAAAACATGTACGAGCGAAATGAATTGTTCTATTTCCACGATTGAAGTCATTCGATGAACTTATTGGGCCTACACAAGTCCAACCTAACGGCGTGAGTCTTGCGATTGGCTCACCCGGACGACCAGCGATTTCTGTAATTGAACGATGAATTTGAGATGCGTTAAGACCGATTAATAAATCAACTTCTGGTCGATGACCGGATACTCTTGGAAACGGAATGCCTTGAAGATGAGGCCAGTTATTCGAGTGTTTCAACCAATCGACTATTTTCATATCCCCAGTGACGTTTGATACTGTAAAAGCCCCGAGTTGTAAATGCAACCTATCGTCGATACTACTAAGATTAACCCTAACGCTTGTAGTATCAAGTGTGTCCTTTTTTTCCCTAAAACACTGACATTCAGTTGCGTTAAGTTTCCCCGAAGTCCTAATTCTGCAGCGATATTTTCGTTAATGTAGCTATCGGTTGAACATTCATCCAACAATGCGTTGCATGAAAGCTTTCTATTACCATTCTGAAGGATAACTGGAATAATACGCATAGCTATTCTGTCGTGTTCGTTAAATTGTCCCCCCTGGGGTGATAAGAATATACCCTTCGTATGTCCTGCGTGTCGTAAAAGGCGACTAAAAGGATCCCTGTAATAGGGCAACGTGTTTGCCGTGCGTTGCGACCCGTGTCGGTGGAGAGTGGAATCCTGGTAATTGAGTTGGGATTTGGCTTGCGAGCCCTTTTTCTGCAACACATTGCTTCGGCCCACAATTCACCTAGACGGTGGGTCAGAGTGGCCCACTCTGATCAATCGGCTTTGGTCGTGTTTAGCTGACGAGTAGGCGCATCTTTCCCATAATTCTGTAATGCATTTGTTGCAGATCTACCTTTGCGTCCTGAGTGCCTACTCTAAAGCAGCGGCTTGGGTCAACTGGATAAAGTAAAAATGTTAAATCTTTACTTTGTCTAGGTATATCCCTGTCTGTCCTCTTAGGGCGTATGCGCTGGATATCCGCGCAGCAGCCTGCATGGATATTGTAACCCTTTGGTGGTTGGAGAGCAGGCAGGGATGAATCTTTTAAAATACACTCATGGCTTCCCAAATCAAACAGACTCGTACGTTAAAAAGAACGTCGACCGAGGATTTGGAAACAAATATTTTACCAAATAAAACATCCCGAACTTGGCCTAGGTTTCTGGTTATACAGAGTACCAACGATATAAATTTAAGTAAAACTTCTCCTTTTCTGATTGCTAAAGGTCTTGCCGGCTTGGTTGGTGAGCCTAAAGCGTCAAGAAAATGAGAAATGGTACTCTGCTAGTGGAATGTGCTAAAGAATCACATGCTTCATCTTTATTAAAATCTAAGACTTTAGCCAACATTCCCATCAAAGTTGCACCGCATAACTCTCTTAATTCTTCAAGAGGTGTTATTCGGTCTCAGGATTTAGAAGGCAGCAGTGAGGAAGAGAGGCTTGAAAATCTCTCCTTACAAGGTGTTACTTACGTCAAACGTATTTCCATCCGACGTAATGGTATCATTATTCAAACAAACACATATATCCTGACCTTTGATAAGCCAGATCTTCCTAGGGTAATCAAAGCTGGTTTTCTTTCCATTCCAGTTACCCCTTATATTCCAAATCCATTGCGTTGTCACCATATGTTTGGCGCAATATAGCCCGGTTGGAGCTGACGTGCCATAAAACCATATTTCATTCATTCATTCCATTGCGTTGTTTTAATTGCCAACGCTTTGGACATAGTAAAAACGTGTGTAAGGGGAAAGCGATGTGTGCTCGATGCGGACAGGATGGTCACGAAAGTATGGAAAAAAGCAAAACAAGTACAACAGGTGAAAACAGAGAAAAATATTTCATATCCAGAAGCAAGGAAGTTGGTTGAGGCTGTAACCCCAACGTTTGCAATGTCCTTTGCAAACGCAGTCAAACCGAAGACCGCTTCCATTGCTTGCCAAACACCTGTTGTCTGGCCAGCTCAGACAGAATCCTCATCGCAACCTGCAAATAATTCTCTCAGCACCCAGACTGTTAAAAAGCCTGGAGTATCTGAGATAGAGGAGATTGTGCCCTCCACTCCTCCAGCAAAAGGTGGAACGTACTGGTAAAGGCGTTATTCAAAATTAAATTCCTTCCGAAGTCGGAAGGGTGATGAGGATCCTGTCCAAACCTTTAACAGGTTCGGGATACAGGACACTCTAATAGATGTTGTTGCAGAAATACACGACCCCAAACAACATCATAGAAGTCCTGTTAAACCTCCCTGAAAATGGCTAATTCCATTATTCAATGGAATTGTCGTGGTCTTAAACCAAATTTTAATGAAGTTCAAATCTTAATTCAAAAATTTAATCCCTTAGCTATTTGTTTACAAGAAACTTTTTTTTAAAGAATTCAGATGTCTTAACACTCAGACATTTTGTTGCCTACCAATGATGGTAGAGCGCACGGTGGTGTTTCCATTTTCCTTAATGGAAATATTCCGCAGAGTAAAGTCGCCCTCAACTCGCCTTTACAGACAGTTGCAGTGAGGGTGACTCTACATATTCCTATCACACTCTGCTCTGTATATTTACCACCTAGTTTACATCTGAACCCCAGAGATCTTGATGACCTTGTTGCACAACTTCCCCTCCCGTTTATAATTACGGGAGATTTCAATGGTCATCATTCCCTCTGGGGTAGTCCAGATGATAACAACAGAGGTAAACAAACAGCGGACTTCATTAACATTAATAATTTGTGTTTATTAAATGATGACTCGCCTACATATCTACATTCTGCCACAGCTTCTTTTTCTTCTCTTGATCTAACCAATTGCTCTCCGGTCCTGTTTCAGGATTTTACATGGAGAGTAAATGAAGATCTATGTGGTAGTGACCACTTTCCTATCTTGATTGATAATGATGGTCCCTCTCCGGTCGAAAGGACCCAGAGGTGGAAGTTGCATAAGGCTGATTGGGCTCTATTTGAATCTTTGTGTCTCTTCTCTTTTGATGCAAAGGAGTTAGAAGATGCAGATGAACCCATGGCCTTATTCACTTCAATTCTACAAGATGTAGCTGAGCAGGCGATTCCAAAAACCACGACTGAACCAAAACGTTTCAATAAACCATGGTATAATGATGATTGCAAATCCGCTCTTAAAGAGCGTGATCGTATCCTGAGACGATTAAAGAACCATCCTTCCATGGAGAACATTGCGTCATACCAAATGGTCCGGGCGAAGGCCCGTAGAACCATACGCCAAGCAAAGAAATTTTCATGGCAAGGTTATGTCTCAAGGATCAATTCCCGTACGGGATAGGATTCGTAGGATTAAAGGTAAATGTAGTGCATTATCAGTAAACCATCTAAATGTTGATAATACCACCTTAACAACATTTCCTGATATTGCTAATTCTCTGGCCAGTACTTTTGCATACAATTGATCATCCAATTTCTCCTCCAATGCCTTTCTAGGCATTAAACAACAGCAAGAGAAAAAGAGACTTAATTTCAAGTCCCGTAATGATGAATGCTACAATGATACTTTTTCCATTGCAGAGCTTCGAATAATTCCCATCCCTAAACCCGGTAAAGATCATACGAATCCTACCAATTATCGTCCGATCGCTTTAACTAGCTGTATTTGCAAAACCATGGAGAGATTGATCAATCGAAGGCTTGTTTGGTACCTCGAGTCCAACAACCTCATTACTGACCTCCAATGTCGATTTAGGTCCCAAAGGAGCACTCTTGATCATCTAATTCGTTTTGAAACGTTCGTCAGGGACGCTTTCTTCCAGAAGCAACATTTAGTTGCAATATTTTTCGAT